CTAACGTCAGCAGCTCTATACTATTTAAACACCATTGCGAATCTCGGCACGAAACCGCAGATAATGGCAGAAACCTTAGTACGCCATCATCCCATCAAGTGTGAGGTGAATTCTTGGACAGCATGCACGCTCATCAGTGAGGACATTTTTCGATCTACTTGGAATGAACGAACGCGCCAACTCTCCAGCAAGACGACACGCAGCTGAGAACGTGGTCAGGACATTTCGTTGCCCTACTGAGTTGTGCCAACGTAGAAGTCTAGTACAACGGCGAGACCCACCATCTGCCATTGCTAGTCGTCAACGGCTCTGGATCAAGCCTTTTAGGCCAAAACTGGTTCACCTAGCTTGGAGTGGTCTTTGGCGCAGTTAACCGTGAAACAATGATATCTGTCTGTGGAGCAGCTCCAAGAGAGGTACAATGTGTTTTTTTTTTCGAAGAAGTAACTATAGAAAGCACCGGACCTGCAGTTACACTGGATCTGCGAGAAGATGCAACGGCGAAAAATTTTAAGGCCAGTTTGGTACCAGTTAAGTTTTCCTTCTCGTTTGTTGATCTCCTTGATATGGATTGAAGTCCCGTCAAGGAGATGATCAGCGTCGATGAAGCAGGAGGCAGGTTGGAGGTAATGAAAACTTGAAGGTATATTACAGCGAAATATTTACAGTCATATGTACATCTTGCCGAAGCACACTCATGATAACACAGACATCAACAGCGTCTTACTCTTCTACTTAACTTTCCTTAAGTTAGAGCCTAGAACACTGTTACTACATACAACGTACTTAGTCTCACTGTTCGACCACCAAGTGGTTACGGCCCAGACAAAAGTTGCATCGTACGGAGTCGTACTGATCTATCAGTTAAGTGATTGCAGCCTCGACTGAAGAGAAACGGATTCCCTCCAGTCTTAAGCATCTTGCGGTAACAAAGAAAAAGGGGAGGGGGCCACTGCTGGTCCGCCTCAACATTCTCTCATCCAATCTGTTTCCACTAAGATTAAGTCACTCCCTACTGGGCTGACCTTACTCTCGACAGCAGCGCTTCTACAGTTTAAACAGGCGTTTTGGTACTCTTTCCCATCATGTCTCTCTCTCTCCACCTCCCACGCGCTCAGGAATTCTAACGCTCGGGAAATATCGGCATTGTAGACCCGGTACATTCATGCCCTTTCCCACACCCAGCGAGCCGAGACGAACCTCCAAAGCCGGAAATTGAATGATTACGCGCGGAACGTAATTGCCCCTGCAGGTAGCAAGCGGCCTTTGACTTTCTCCGCTTACCTTGTGCTCGGGTCGTGCATTGCTGCGAATTTGAGCCGATCGCCAGAACAGAGCGTGTCGCCTACTCCCACTGAGCTCGCGCCCGGCAGCCGAGACAGGACGGGGTCGCTTAATCCCATTGTGCGTTTGCCCCCGGCAGCGGTGACTTGTCTCTAAACCACAAACATTCCAAGCCGGTAGGCAAAGCGGGTTCGTTTCACATTGTGTGTTTGTCCCCAGCATCGGAGGAGACGGACGTAGTTTGCATTCCAGAGGATAAGTGGTGTATAGTTACACGGGCATACCGAGAGAGAGTCGAGAAAGAAGCTTTGTATAACGTAGCTTCCCGTGCTGTCGTCCCATGCTCACAGGAAGCAATTTGCGACCTTGCCGAGAGAGATCCGAGAAAGAAGCTTTAAATAACGTAGCTTCTGGTGCTGTCCCATCCGCACGATCAACTTATGAGCGGCAAAACCTAACAGTACCTTTTGCTCTACGGACCTCAGTCGAGAATGAGCTTGACCGACTGCAGGACCAAGGAATCATCGAACCGATGCAGCATTCAGAATGGGCTACACCACTCATTGTCGTCCAAAAAAAGAAGAACGGTACCTACGCCTAAGTGGATACCATCGGAGCACCGTCAACTTCTCTACAAAGGCATCATCTTACCCGCTGCCAACACCGGAAGAGGTTTTAGCCTGCTTCGGGGTAAAAAAACCTACAGCACCTTGGATTTGAAACAAGCCTACCAGCAACTGAGGGTGAGCGAATGAACATCTGAACTGCTCGTGATAAGCACCAGTAAGGGTCTCTACAAAGTTAAGAGGCTACCATTCGGCATAGCTGCAACACCAGTAATCTTCCAGAAATTTATAGAGTCTATACTTAGTGGGATTCCTGGAGTTTGCGTCTACTAAGGTGATGTTATTGTCGTGAGCGCCTTCAATGAAGAGCATGAAAATCGTTTGAAGCTCATTTTTGAAACGCCATCAAATGCTAACTTGCCCATCAGCAAGGAAAAATGTATTCTGGCGGTGCCTAAAGAGAAGTTTCTTGGACATTAGATTGACGCACATGGTATTCATCCCACTGAAGACAAAGTGCGAGCAATCACTGAAGCACGAGTGCCTACCAACAAACAAGAATTGCACTCATTCTAAGGAATGTTAAATTTCTAGGATTGGTTCTTAGAACATCAAGCTACAGTGGCCAGCAATCTACACGAGCTCATGCGATAAAGAAGTCCCATGGACATGGTCGCCACGCCACCAACAATCATTTGTGGCCCTTAAGGAACTGCTACGGAAGTCTACTGATCTGCGAAATTAAGCAGGAAGGAGATCCTACTGCTAGCCCGTGACGCATCACCATACGGAGAGGGAGCAGTCTTCTCCGAAGCTGACGACCAGGGACGAGAAGCCCCGACTGCTTTCGCATCGTGCGTGCTATCGCAGGCAGAGAGGAATTATTCCCAGCTAGAGAAAGGTGCAAAGAGGGACTTGTCATCATCTACGCAGCATACCACCTCCGACACCATATTACTGGCGAAAAAGTGACCGTCATAACTGATCACCGGCTATTATTGAATAATGTGGGCCCCGAGAAACCGATGCCACAGACGTTGTCGCCACGGATGACATGATAGTGTATCAAGATGTCGTAGTAAGATTATGAACTCGTTCATCTTACTGGCAAGAAACACCAGAACTCCGACGCACTAAGCCACCTGCCACTCGACACCGCAATAGACTAACCACCCCCGCCAGGTCATATACTCATGTTCGAAGCGCTTCCGAGCCCTCCGCTAACGACTGACATGGTAGAAGCATCAACGCAGGAGTACACGGTCGCGAAAGAAGTCTACGCTGCTATACAAGAAGGCAACGTGCACAAGCTAAATGGTGAAACACACCTCAACGCTTAACGCAAGCGAGCTACGGAGTTAAGCACTCATCGCGACTATGTCGCCATTGGATCAAAGGTGCCGATTCCTGCGGCGTTTCGCGAACAAGCTATGTCGCTTGTTCATGCAGGTCAACGAGGCATTGTTGCCATGAAGAAGTGCGTCAGGAGTTACATGTGGTGGCCGAGTATCGACCATGACATCGAATCAAAAGTTCACGATTGCCAGCTTTGCCAATGCAACCACAGAGCCCCACCCAGTTTCTATACCAAATTGGGAAATACCAGAACCGCCTTGGCACTTGGCACACCCTGCAGATGGACTTTGCTGAGCCTATAGAAAAATGTTAACTTCTGGTGGTTGTTGACACATACACTAAATGGCTGGAGGTAAAACAAAATGGCCAAAACGATATCAGCGGCAGTTATCTACACTCTGTGGTCGTTGTTTGCAACTTTCGGACTACCACACAAGGTTCTTTCAGACAACGGCATTTCGTTTGTGTCTACGGAGATTTTCAAAATCTATAAAGACAACGGCGTGTCGTCTGCTACGTCAGCTGCAAACCATCCGGGCGCCTACAGAGAAGCCGAGCGCTACGTGGCAGAGCTCAAACGCGTTCCCGCTAAAGATCAGACTGGGACAATACAACGCCACGTCCCACGCTATCTCTTCAGACAGCACAACACTGTTCAAGGCTCCACGGGAGAAACAGCAGTGAAACTGATGATTGGCTGAGAAATGCGAACCAAACTGACAACAATTGTCCCGGAGCTCTCGGTGAAGACATTGTTTGAGGAAAGAAAAGCTCCCGCCTAGCAGGAGAATTGAAAGTGGGCAGCGCATATACGCCCGCCAGTTTAAAAAAAGGGCCTGGTTGGTTTGAAGCGGCGGTGTTCAAACGTACAGCTTTGTGGTCATGGCTCGAGACATCGGTGGAAAGGTCACACGCTGCCACCTTGATCAGCTATGTCGTCCAGGTAGTTTGTCAAGGGAAGCTTCCATTCAAGCAGCCATCCCGACAGAAGCTTCGTCCCACTTAGCCCGGCATCTCACACCTGATGAATCGACCTGACCAGCACTGAACACAAGAAAAATGACACTCAGCGAACCGAGGCATCTCTTCCCCACAGAGCGTCCACGTGATAACAGCGGCCCCATGATCACTTCCAAGCGAAACTGAAGGGGGCAAGAGATGTTGTGTCCCGAACCACCCCGGGGTCCCAAGTGAGCCTCCGAGCGGTACGCAATGAAGCGGTGGGACGACCGGTCTCAAACGACTCCGGTCGTTAAGACTCCTCCTCCTCAGTCCCCTGTTTGACAGAATGATCCGCCGATCGCTTACCTACGGCAGTTCGGCTGCGGCCTCCGTCCGAGTAGGAATAAACAAGTTTTAACCGTCCGAGGTTGCCTATGCTTTTTCACTACCATTACAGACGTACGTGTATGGGACGAAGACAACTCCGGACATAACAGCAAGTAACACCCAACTTATTATTATTATTATTATTATTATTTTCAAACACCGTTCCCGCAAAAACGAATTTCAAGTACTTCGGCACTACCATTGCTGCCAATTTGAGTGCATCTACTTCTTAGAAGATAGAGGGCTGTTTGATCTTACCAGCAATACTGCCTTCAAACACGAGATCCCTTGAGAGGTCATAAAGATAACATGTATCCGCCCTAAGCTAAGCTGCTCTGTGGGACTTTATCTACAAAGGGAAGAAAACAGCCTAATTGAAAAAGGAGACAGATGAAGGTGTTGGGAGTGGTACTAAGATAAGGACTAAAGCACTCAAGTGTATACAAGCTCTTGTGCATTCTTGTTGCGACGCCTGCTGAACGCCGTTCTCGTAGAACTCTTGCGTGGTGTCTATATACAGGACCCCCTCAGAAACACAAGGAATTGTGCTTCCCGACCGAAAGGAGCAACTACGTCTGTGCTGATCGAGGTGAGTGATCGAGTGCTCTGTGAAACTAAATGTAAAAAGTTTTGTAATTGAGCGACGAGGAAGCATATGTATGTAGAGCTGATGGTAGCACGGTTTAGTTTTACTGAACTAGATAAATGTAGATCTATGCGCTTAAGGTAATAAAATATATAGGTGCGCCATATGCTGACAATAAGCAACTGAAAGTAACTTTTGCCACCTTACCAAAGTTAGAGAAACTAATTTCAAATAATTTCTGATGAGTCCTACATTGAGGCAACGGTTAAACGAAAAGTTGAATTTTTATCGTCGAGGTGACGAATCGAACGCAAGATGCAGCACTGTAAAAAACTCCGGCGGCTGGGTGCGCGCTGTAAGTGCACCACATTAGAGAAACCGGACTGCAACAGAGTTACACTGATATTTTCAAAACTGTGGTTTGGCAGGCGCAGATGTCTAGATAAAATAGCTTCGGCAGTGAAGTGGCGTGTTACCGGTGATTATTGAACCGCAGCCGAAATCGCGCGTCTATTCGGCCGATGTATTCTTGTCCGCAGGTGTTGCAATGTAGCACGTATATTACGTTACTGGAGTCACAAAAAAGGCTTTCAGGTATGCAGAATTTGAAATCTGAGAAGTTCATTTTGATTCACGTGTTGTGACCATCTGTGGGCATACCTTGCATTGAGCTTTTCCCCATAGATGGCACTCAGATTGAATTTCGGAGGGGTTTGTTTTTGCTCTGACAAGAATATCCTCCTCGATTTTACCACTGCGGTACACCACGTGAGGTGGATTCGCGAAAATTAAAGTTAGTCGTTTGCTTTGCCTGATTATGTTGAAATGGCGGAAAAGTATGTTGTTGATTCGTGGCACTTATGAGGAGTAAGCTCGTACATAGTTCACGTGCTACGTGACGCCAGACATGCGCATAAAAGAGTCATGATTTCACACTCGTCGCTTGGCTTATAGATGGCGCTGACTGACACTCCTACTTCTAAATTCACATATAAACCCCAAAAAAGTAAATTGAGGGAAGGCCGCTGTGATAGTTTAGTGGTTAGAGCATCGAACGCGTTATTCGAAGGTCGTAGGTTCGATTCCTGCTCACGGCTGGTTATTTTTTCACCCACCTTTCTTTCTTCTGATTTACATTTCATTGGTTCTAATAACTTCCCCTGTACATTTCTTGGCATTACTGTCTGTTAGATCTCATTAATATTGTGTCAAAACACTGAAATACGAGCCCTTAGGTATACACTTCTTTCCCTTATATATATATATATATATATATATATATATATATATATATATATAATATATATATATATATATATATATATATTGTTACGAATAAATATAGCACCTGGTACTATATAAACTCCTTATTTAGGGCGAACTTGTGCCCGTAAACAAAAAGCTAAAAATGGTCCGCCAAAAATGTCTCTTGCTCGCTGACTCCAACTTCGTCGGTCTCTCCTCTGCCCCACGAGTCTCGTGCCGGTCCCGTGGCGTAGCATCGTGGCGCGTGCAGGACGGCGTTCCATGGCGCGGCTTTCTTGCTATTTTGCTTGGCGGCTGTTACGAACGCGAATTGTGGCACGCGTCTTCTGCGATAGTCGAGCTGTGGCATTAGTCCCCCTCTTAGCACGCATCGCCCCCATGCGTAGAGCCGGCTGACAGTTTCTAAACAAAAGGACGTGTCCTTGTGTTAGACGACGTGAGTCAGTTCACTTGATTAGTTCCTGTCGTAGTACGGTTTCATACGTACTACATGTACAACTTCCGCGAGATTCCTGCGTGGAGTTGTGCATACTTGACCTTCAGGGATCACTTCGTAGTTTAATTGGCCTAGCTGACAAAGAACCCTGTAAGGGCCAAAATAGCGCCGCATAAGCTTTTCTGATAGGCCACGTGAACGTACAGGCGTCCAGACACGCACTTGGTCTCCAGGGGAGTACTGAACGTCCCTTCATCTTAGATTGTAATGGTGCGCGTCGACGTCCTGCTGTTGAATGATGCGGTTCTGTGCTAGTTGTCGCGCCTCTTCTGCCCTTTCTACATATTCGCTTATGTCAGGGTCCTCTTCATTCGTGTTGTTGACAGACAGCATCGCGTCTAATGTCGTTATTACTGTCCGACCATAAACAAGTTGAAATGGCGTGAAGTGGGTTGTCTCTTGTAGTGCGGTATTGTATGCAAATGTAGCATACGGTAATATGGCGTCCCAAGTTCGATGCTCGACGTCCACATTCATCGCAATCATGTCAGCAAGCGTCCTCTTCAGCCTTTCAGTTAACCCGTTACTTTGCGGATGGTATGCAGTAGTTCTTCTGTGGTCGGTGTGCGTTAGTTTCTTGACAGACTGTACTAGCCTGGCAGTGAACGCAGTTCCTTTGTCAGTTTTAAGGACTTTAGGTGCGCCATGTCGCAGCACTCTCTGGGTCACAAAAAACTGAGCCACTTCATCGGCCGTTCCTTTTGTGAGAGATGACGTCTCGGCATACCGGGTCATGTAGTCGGTTGCTACAACTATCCAGCGCTTCCCAAACGATGACATAGGAAACGGTCCTAGCAAATCCATTCCGACCTGCTCAAACGGGACTTTCGGTGGCTATATTGGTTTCAAAAGACCTGCTGGCTTTAGGGATTATACTTTGCGTCTTTGGCATTCTCGACAAGATCTTACGTAATACTGTACTGAATCCATCAATTTTGGCCAGTAATATCTCCGGCGGATTCTTGCCAAAGTCCTACTAATGCCCAAGTGACCTGCCGATGGGTCATCATGACACGCTTCTAAAATTTCCGCTCGCAGTGATGGTGGTATCAGCAGTAGGAACGTTTCACCGGTGTGTTGAAAGTTTTTCTTGTAGAGAACGTTGTTGCGGAGGACGTAGGAACGTAGTCCACAGACGAAAACTCGCGGTACTTCGACTTGCTGCCCCTCTAAGTATTGAATGAGCAGAAGTAATTCTGGGTCCATTCGTTGATCATGAGCCATCTCCGACACATTCACAGCTCCAAGAAATGCGGAGTCTTGTTCATGCTCAGGAGACGAGGTCTGGACAAGCTCGTGACAAGCAAGTCGCGTCATTGTGCTAGTGGCCAGACTTGTAGACTATGGTGATGTCATATTCTGGTAGACGCAGGCTCCATCTAGTCCAGCGAGTCTTCCGGAAAAGTCCTTGAGGTTCGCAAGCCAGCACAATGAATGGTGGTCACTGATGGTTTGGAATGGTCTACCGTATAAATATGAACGGAACTTACTGATGACCCATATAACTGCGAGACATTCCTTTTCCGTAGCTGAATAATTATACTCAGCTTTCGACAGAGAGTGGCTTGCATAAGCAATAACTCTTTCTTCCGCGTTCTGCTATCGAACAAGAATAGCACCGAGGCCAACTTTGCTGGCGTCCGTATGAATGTCTGTTTTGGCATCTTCGTCAAAATGAGCGAGTATGGGAGGTGACTGCAAATGCCGTCGTAACTCAGAGAAGGCGTCTTCTTGCTCTTGGTGCCAGATGAATGGCACACCTTCCTTCGTAAGCCGTGTCAGTGGTTCCACAATCTTGGAGAAGTTTTCAACGAAGCGCCTATGGTGTGCACAAAGCCCCAGGAAACGTCGCATAGCTTTTTTGTCTCTTGGCCTTGGGAAATTTTCAACCACAGTGATTTTATCCGGATCTGGGCGGACACCGTGACAACTGACAATGTGTCCGAGGAACCGAAGCTCCCGGAATCCAAAGTGGCACTTTTCAGGTTTGATCGTAAGTGCAGCCATACAAATAGCGTCCAGTACCGTTCTCAATCTCTGTACGTGCTGCTCGAACGTAGTGGAAAAAATTACTACGTCATCAAGATAGACAAGACATGACTGCCATTTGAGGCCGGAGAGCACGCTGTCCATTATCCTCTGGAAGGTAGCGGGAGCAGAACACAAACCAAATGGGAGTACTTTGAAGTCGTAGAGTCCGTCGGGTGTCACAAACGCCGTCTTTTCACGCTCTAGTTTGTCGACTTCTATTTGCCGGTACCCGCTCTTTAGATCCAACGATGAAAAAAGTGAGCATTGCGCAGTTTATCCAACGTATCGTCGACTCGTGGGAGTGGGTACACTTCTCGCTTCGTGACGAGGTTGAGTTTTCTGTAATCAACACAGAACCGCATGGTGTTGTCCTTCTTCTTCACCAGTACTACCGGCGATGCTCATGGGCTTTTGGACGGCTGTATGACATCGTCGTCGAGCATCTCCTGTACTTGCTTCTTTATCGCCTACCTTTCTTTCGGAGCTACTCGGTATGGATACTGACATACTGGTCTAACATGCCCTTCGATTACAATGCCGTGCTTAGCTACAGGCGTACGTCAGACTTTCGATGAATAAAGAGGAAAAACACTCTGCGAATGCCTTGATCAACTCCACAATCTGGTCTTTCTGCAGAGATGAAAGCTCTCGGTCAATATCTATTTTCTCGAGGACGCTGTCCACTGTTGAGGGCGTTGTAGGTACTTTTTCTATGGTGCAAACATCTGAGACTTGTACGTAGTCATGAAGTGATGCTATGGCTGCTCCCTTCGCCACTTGCTGTACCTCGTTGGTAAAGTTAGTCAATAGCACATCAGTATATCCGTTGCGCAGGTGCACTGGACCTCTCGCCACGCGTATCTCATTGTGCGTAGCAGTTCGATATTTCCATCAGCTAGTCCGGCATATTCACGAAAAACGTCGCTTTTCACAGAAACTGTCACGCTGCTACGTGGTGGCACTGTCACACCTTCATCCACAATACGAAGAGACAAAACAATTGGTTGCTCCGCATGACACACCGCAACAGCGTTTTCTGTAGAGAAAGAAACTTGGGATTTCTGCAAGTCGATGATGGCACTGTTTGCTTGCAGGAAGTCCATGCCCAGAATTGCCTCACGGGAACATTCGGGGAGAACAATAAAACTGCAGACGTACACATGGCCTCTTATTCCCACTCTCGCTGTGCACAATCCTACGGGGCTGATTA